TGCCCAGCCTGGTTCTAAGTCAGCTCAACCTACTGCACTCAATTCATCTCAGCCAACATCTGCATCTATGATGGGTCCTGCCAGACCAGCTCTGCCAATTTCAACCAATCCTGATCAGCCTGGTTCTAAGTCAGCTCAACCTACTGCACTCAATTCATCTCAGCCAACATCTGCATCTATGATGGGTCCTGCCAGACCAGCTCAGCCAGTTTTGATGAACCCAGTCCAACCAGATTTGACCAACCCTGTTGAGCCTGGTTCTAATTCAGCTCAACTTACTGCAGTGAATTCATCCCAGCCAACTCCTGCATCTTTGACAGGTCCTGCTAAACCTATTTCAACCAATTCAGTCCGACCAGGTTGGACCAACCCTACCCAGCCTAGTGTCCCTCCGTGTGATGCTTCTAGACCTGTGCCCTACAAAACATCAACTTGCACTTCTTTCCAGTGGGAGCCGGTTCGCACTACGGTGAACAAGCCCTGGACCCCACCCAAACCTCAAAACCAATGGCTTCTCCAGGATTTTGCCTGTCAGCGAATTCCATGGAGGAAACCTGATATTTCTGGGCCAGTAATGTCAACGCCCATCACAAAGGAGCAGAGGCCAGAGAGGGAGGCTATGAAGAGGAAAGCTCAACTTGAGCGGGAGAATGCTGCCAAATTCACCTCGCTGGGGAAAGTGCAGTATTTCATCGAGAGAGAAAAAGAAATGGACATTTCTCGATACTATGGCTATGCAAAATAAGAGGTGCTAGGAGTGTTGGTGCCTCGCTGGATACCTACTGTTTTCCCATAGATAGATAGATATAAATTTCTCTATTCTGGTATATTTTAAATCTTAACAAAATTGAATAAGTAAATGTAGTGGAATTCATAGATAAGTAATAAAGAAGCCTTTTGAGTTTTGAGATGCTGTTAACTGTGGCTTTCTTTGGTGGGGGTGTGGATCAAAAGCTGCATGAGAACAAAAGAATTGGTAGTTGGATGGGCAAATGAGGGACAAGGGGTAAGAACTGAGGAAATAGAAAGAACTTTGTCTATGGCCATAAAGGCTAAAAGGGGAGAGATGGATTTATAAAAAGGAGCAGGAGGTGGGGGGATGGTAGAAGTGAGATGCAGGGTCTGGGGTTAGGGTTAAAAAGAGAAAATCTGAATAGAGTTGAAAATGGTGGATGAGTCTAGATTGATCAGGAGAAATAGAAAAAGTCTCTCGTGGAGGCCGGTCTTAGGTCTCATGCCCACCAGATAAGTATTTTAGAAAACAGATAGTTGGTACATTTCCCAAAGGTTTGGGTTGCCTTTTCCATGTCTGTTTGTAGTTGGGGAAGGTGAGGACAAATCAAGGGAATCTACCAGATGAGTGGCAAGGGGGCAGCTGATAACAGGGGCCCAGGCTAGTGAACTACTGTAGAAGGGGGCTCACTCTACTGGGTAAATCACCATTTACTCAATACTAATGCACGATGTCCATTGAGATGCACGATATTATATTTTAGTCTTCATTTCTAAAATTTTTCTTTTATTTTTAATTCTGTCCTGAGTTGTATCATCTCATCTAATTCTGATTTATGGTATTCTTTCACCTGTTTTTATTATAGTAAAACATACATAACACATAATTTATCATTTTAATGGTTTTTAAGTATACAATTCAGTCACATCAAGCACATTCATGATATTGTGCAACCATCACTACCATCTAAAATTACAATAATTATGTCCAAAGATGGAGCAGGACTTCAGAGAGGTGGAAGGAGCAGGACAGTTTTTGAATCTCCCCAAACCCTTTCATGGAAATAGATAAACCCAAACCAAACAGCCATGGGTAGCTTTTACCAGCATTTACTATTTCCAGAACTTTCCATCATTCCAAACAGAAATGCTGTCCCCTTTAAATAATATCTTCACATCCCCTCCCCCCCCACCATGTTCTTTCATCTTTTACACTGTTTTTCCACGTCTTTTAGCTCATTTTGAAATAGCAGGTTATTGTTTTTTGTTTGTTTTTAAACATATTTTCATTTATTTCAGAGAGGGAGAGAGAGATAGAAACATCAATGATGAGAGAGAATCATTGATAGGCTGCCTCCTGCACACCCCCTACTGGGGATCGAGCCTGCAACCTGGGCATGTGCCCTTGACCAGAGTTGAACCCAGGATCCTTCAGTCTGCAGGCTGATGCTCTATCCACTGAGCCAAACAGGCTGGGGCTAGCAGCTTATAGTTTTTATCTGTTTTGTGGGCCTGTCTTTTCTGACTTGTTTCATTGGTGAAGGAGATGCTATTCTGCTCCTTATTCTTCTTTTTCTCATATTATCTTTGTATGGGATTTGATCTCAATTATTTTGAGTTTTATTTTTAGGTGCAATCAGTTTTAACACCTTTAGAAGAGGAGGTGAGGTTGAAGAAATCTTTTCTAACTTCCCAGAACTTTTGTGTATTTATTTTAATGTAGTATTGGATCATGAGACTTGCTTTCTGAGGTTTCCTGGCTCTGCCCCCCCCCCCCCCCCCTCAGAGAGAGAGAGACACTTTCCCTTTGTGTCTGTGGTTCCTTCCAGCTGTGTCTCTCCTGCATGGAAAGGAGCTCTAGTGCTCAGTGTCCAGGTAGAGAGGCCTAGACTGCTCCAGTCCTTACACTTTGTCCATGGCCCCTTGTATTTACTGACGTTGGGACTGGAAAAAGCCCCTTCCAGTCTCAGCTGCTGTCCTCAACTTGGCCCCCAGTGCTCTCAGGTGAGGACTGCTGGCACTGTGAAGGCCTCCTGTGCTCACGCCCATCAGATGCTTCCTCCTGTCTGACACTCCCTCTGGTGCGATGCTGAGACCAGGCAGGTCTGTGCCCGGTGGTGGTTGTCTGCTCCACCCTCTCACTTTGGGGCTTCTACTTTCCTGGTAAATGCTACCCATGGGCGTTTAGTTTGGATTTATCTAATGCCATGAGAGGGTTTGGGGAAATTAAAAAACAATGCCACTGCCTCTATCTTCCTTAAAATCTGCTCATCCTTTGACATGATTATTTTACTAGTAAATGTGACAGCCCTGAAATTATCAGTCCCCCAAAGCAGAGCTGCAGAGCCCATCTGCCCTACCCTCGTAGGACTCTGGGTCAGACAAGGCTTTCTGAGTCTCCTCTGTCTCACATGGCGCCTCATGTCTGTATTTGCTCAGACTATGTTTTGAATAAGAAGGCAAAACACAGCTACCTGAAAGGCTCATGGGTAGAGGGACATTTGGCCACCATGAGAGGTGGAATAAGCATGCATGCAACTCATTTTCCCAACTAGACTTTTTTTTTTTTTTTTTTGTGATGTGAGATACCAGTCTGCAAACAAACTATAGGTGGAGCTCCAAACCTCAGATTCATCTTCATGTTACTGGTTTTACTGTAGCCTTTTTCTCAAGGAACAACTTCTTCATCAGGTAATTCCAACTCCAACAGAAAAGGAACATAATTTGCATGCAGTAGTAAACCACAAGTGTAAAAGTTCCCAGTACACTTGCTGTATTTTCCTGATTTTAAAAAGCTCATCCCACATCTTTTTCATCCCAAGTATTTACTTTTCAAATTATATTTGTCATTTTATATCCCCAATGGGTTTACAGCAAAAGTTTTAACAACACAAACAGTTTTTAGTACACATTCCATTTCTGCTTTCAGAGCACCCCAATTCCCTAGTAATATTCAAGGTGGGCTGTATTAGTGTCTCAATGCATTGAGCTCACCTAGTATCCCCTTGAGAACCTTAATTGTCTTAAAAAAAATTCCCCCCCCCCCACTCTGATGGCTCTAAGTATTCATCCATGAGTGCCTTAAAAAAACAAACAGGTATTGAGTTTTTCTTTTTCATTATTGTAGGCCCATCACTTGACATAGGTCCATGAACAAAATCAATAAATATTTGATGAACTAATGAAGGCATCTAGCCTTGGAGGATTTCTGCTTCTAGTATTAACCACCTTGTGGAGAAGACTTGGTCCCAAGAGCATCAGGACCACTGTTTTTTATTGTTCGTCTCAGTTATCACCATAATTGGCTACCTGTTCCTGTAATTCATTTTGGAGAAGTGAAATGACATTTAGTTCAACAACATTTGAACATCCAACAATCCTATTGAGTGTCACCTGGGGTTGCAAGCTGTTCCAGGCACTGGAAATAGAGCTGAGCAAGTCATAAAGAACTCCTGTCTTCCTGTAGATTATATTCTGGCAGGGAATGAGAAACAATAAACAATCCAGACCATAGCAGACAGTGGGAAGGGCTATAAAATGAATTAAAATAGGACCAAGTGATAGCAGGTGACTGGGTGGCTACTTAAAGTGTGTGTTCAGAAAAGTTCTCTTTGAGGAGATGACATGTACACTGAGACACGAATGACAAGTTGGAGCCAGCCACGTGAAGATCAGGGTAAGAGCACCCAGGAAGAGAAAACTGCGGTGCAAAGGTCTTGACGGGAAGAGCAGATGTTTAGACAGTGTGGAGAGGGAGTAGTAAGCAAGGAGAAGAGTGGTAGATGGGGTCAGAGAGATAAAGTGAACTGAGTCACTTGTAAGAGGGTAAGGAGTTTAGATTTTTAATTTGAAGTGCCATGGAAATAATTGGAGAGTTTTAAACCCAGGAGCAATCGTATCTGATTTTTGTTTAAAAATAACATTAGCTGTGCCCTGACCGGTTTGGCTCAGTGGATAGAGCGTCGGCCTGCGGACTGAAGGGTCCCAGGTTCGATTCCGGTCAAGGGCATGTACCTGGGTTGCGGGCACATCCCCAGTAGGTGGCGTGCAGGAGGCAGCTGATCTTAATTTGAAGTGCCATGGAAATAATTGGAGAGTTTTAAACCCAGGAGCAATCGTATCTGATTTTTCTTTTAAAAATAACATTAGCTGCTACTGTGAAAATACATTGCAGTAGGTAAGAATGGGTGTCATTACTGTACTAATGAGATGTCCCCTCTAAGTATGGCACTTATCACAGGAGTAGCAAGTAGGCAAATGACATCTGCCTGGAGTCTTCCTTGTTTTGGGTCCCCCAGAAAGTTCCTCTGGGCCTCTTTTCTATATCATGATGCTATATATAAAATATTCCCTTCCGGGAGTCCCTTCATGTTTCAGAGGAATGAGCAGGTAGGAACAAGCATGCAAGAGTGCAGGAGTCTGTGATATTAAAGTATGCAAGAGGTCCTATGAAGACGGTTCAGGGAAAATGTTCATGGCCATAAGGGAAGCACCTCACTTCCTAGCCTGGCCTTGGCCCACAAGGGGAGACACTGAAGCCATTTGCTGACAGAATACCCTCCATGCTTAGCCTTTAGTCTTTGGGGCAGGAGCAAGTAGAATAGTCTTCTCAATTATGTCAACAACCAACAGAATTTTTGTATCCTTAGTTTCCTGGTTACATGTACAAAACTGTCCAGTTTTCAACTTTCCTGGTTAATCAGGAAGTGAGGAATTTCAGATGTTTATCTTGGCTGGGGTGTTCTTGCTTGTTGTTTCTGGTCCCTATAAAGCTGAGAGTGCTGACCACTTGCCCCAGATGCCAAAAACTTTGGTCCATATTTACAAATCCCTTCTCCAAAAGGACCAGATACTGCTTCCCATATTCCTATATCCTCTTACTCATTATTTTAAAAACTGCCATCACCTAGTCACACTTACTTTCAAATATCAGGGACAGCATGTGTGTGGTGGTTGCTCTGTTTGTGATTATGCACATCCCTCTCTTGTGTGCTTCCTAGTCATGGTTTCTTAAAGCCTTCTCATCATAGTCTTAACATCTAGCACGTTTGTAAAATCTATTAACGTTTTAAGTTAAACATCACAAATAAGAGCTATTTTTTTTTTTTTTGGAGAATGTGCTCAATGGGAGCAGATGGCCCTGCCCCACTCCCTATTAGCTCTGCTTCTGACTGTACTACCACAATAGCAGTATGCACCTGCTGGATTTATTCACTGCTGTACCCCTAGCACCTAGAACAGAAACTGGCACATAGTAGATGCTCAAGAAATATATACTGAGTGAGAGGTTGAACGGATTGGTTTTTGTCCCGTGTTGTCTTCTGCCAGGATCCTGCCTGCATTGTATACCCTCCCTCTGACCAGCACTCCTAATGCATCAATTCCTTTAGGCTCAACCCACTATGTTTACATTCTGAGGGGAAAGAGGCAGTATACTAGTAGAAATAAGAGTTTTGAAGACACAGAAGAATTCCTTTACAAATGCCTCCCAAGAGTTATCTGCAGAAGATCCAGGAGAATCAACAGTGGGTCCCAGCCCTGGCATGCATATTTATGCTTGTAAGGGGGGAAGACTCTGCTAAGTGCTTTCAGCCATTAGTCTGAAAAGCCAGTGACCACACAGAATCACTTCAGAGAAATCCACGAGAAATATACACAAAAGGGAGTGAGAAAAAGGAGAGATCTGGATGCTGGCCTGGTGGAAGAGGGAACACCTGTGCAAGAGCTTTCAGCGAGACTTTGAAAGACAGGTCTTGTAATCACTAACATCACGAACAAACTTGCAGGGAGGCTCCCAAGAGTGGAGGCAGGTACATTGGAGGGGAGTAAAGCATCCCCGAGAGAGTTAAACCTTTAAACCAAAGCACAAAATTTCAGAGGTGATATACAAAGTCGCCTGAGACAGACCGACTACCTGGCTTGCAGGACCCCTTTGGGAAGAGACTGTGCATGTATGCACACACCCGCACAGCACACACAGAATATGCCACTGTTTGTATTTGGAGGAAGCAGCCATACTGCGCTGGGCACAGGGGCAGAAAGGACCTCGCACAGATATTTGTGTCCCCATTGCTTTCGGCAGTGATCCTTAGAAGTTAAACACTCATGTTCAATAGACTTTATTGGTGCTCTCACATTAAAAATGAGTCTCATGTTCTCTTTTAGGCAATACAAGCAATTGCCTAATACCCCCAACCATCCATTTTGTGTAGAAAGTAACGCAAACAAGCTGAAAAGTTCAGGAGTTTGATTTCCCCTGATTTAGAAACCC